AGATGATGGATGGATGGAGTTTGAAGGCCGGGTCAATGCTTCAGGCTCTTGGTCATGCTCCTCAAGTCTTTCCTGTGCAGGTTTTGTGGCATCACAGGGGGGTTTTGTCTGAGGCGGGTGGTTTGTATCAAAGTAACATCCACATGAATAAAGGATCTAACGTTTCCCAGCAGAACACTGCATTGTGATAACTTATCAATGCTATTCACTTCACCTGTCAGTGGTTTTAATGTTGTGGCTATTGTCCACTAACATATTAAAGATTACTCTTTTGAGGAAAATGCAACCAATTATCATCAAAATAGCCTCTCAGGGAGCAGATTAGATCTCATCATTCTACTCCATCACTTCTCAGGGTTCTTATCCAACCCAGAGGCCAAACACGACTTGTCTCCGTTGTGAATAATGCATCACTTAGCTGACGAAGCTCATGTTCACAAGTTGTTTAAACATTCAGTTACTGAGGCTGAAGATATCTCAGTTATTTATTCTGCTCACAGAAGTGCTGTGTTGTTGTTTTTTTAAATGGGAAACCAACACTAAACTAGACACATATAAAACAGTGTTTATGCTCCAGCTATGTACAGGTATGATTCATAACAGCTACTTAAAGGGGTACTCAGGTGATTTAGTATTGCTCTTCTATACAGATGCAGAAACACAAGACTGATTAAAACCTGATCCTGGATAGGCCGATATATTTCTGCTTGTAATCTGTAGTATGTGTCAAGGTCTAAAAAACACAGGATTTTACACAGAGTCTTTCATTAAACCATTAAATCATTACATTTATCATTCAGCTCTCAGGTTCATAACCGGGGACAGTTACAGAACACATCATTATTTACTCTATCAGAAAGATGGTTGGCTGTCATTGGCAGTTTGAAGAGAACAGCTTTGCATTTTATTCATCTACAAATCATTGTTAGGAAAATTGCCTGAATATCTTGCTTGTCTTTTTAATTGTAGATCAATTTCTCATCAAACTAGGGCCTTGGAAAACACACTCATTAAAACTGAGATCGGGAAACAAGCTTTTAAATATTATGCACCCAAGTACTGGAACAAAATTTAAAACCTGTTGAGATTAGCTAATCTAATCCCATCTGACAGGTTTAAGGCCCTTGTGTCCAACATGGAGCAGTATGAGTGTACTTATTTTCTTTCTTTTTAACTTATACACTTTCTCCAACTTATGATTCTTTATTCTGTACGTGTAGAGTGTTTTATTTTGATTGTCTGTGGCATTTATTCTGTATGTGAGAGTGTATGTCTGTGTAAATATCTATTCGTTGTATTTTATTCTGTATTTTAGTAAAAGCTGAAAAATGTGTGTTTGCTTATTGTCATGCTTACAGGACACCCATGAAAAAGAGAGTAGCCACTCTCATAGGGGCTTTTCCCTGTATAGAGAAAAGCTAATAATAATAATTATGAAAACCTCTGCTTCCTTCAGTGCGCCCAATACATCCACTCTGTTATACAGCTAAGACAACTCTCATCAACATCAAAAGAGTTTTCAAAGTTCCGCGACACAGCAGACGCTATACATCTGCTTTCACAGGCTGAGCCGTACTCCTTATAATGACTACACTGAACTTCATGTATACATCAGTGGAGAGTTCCACTATTTATCCTCGAGTGAACTGCACAGATCAAAAAATGTAGTCCGGATGTGCACGACTTTAAATCTGGGTGCTTGTTTTTCCATGACAACGAGAAAAAAAAACGCTCAAAGGGCAATGAAAGCAAACACACGTTCCTAAAACAACACACAGTCTGTATTTGTACATCCATGCCTATTTCTGTGACATCGTGACATCATTTTATACACAACATCCATGAATCCATTACTCTGTCTTCTTATTTAGACCCCTAAAATTAAACACGGCTATGAGAACGTAGTGTGCCGGTGTTTCCGGGCTTGTTGCTTACCATCTGTTGCTATGTTGTCCACTGGGAGGTTGTGTATGTGAGCCATGTAGCCAACAGCTGAGAAAATCACAAAGCCAGCCAGCATGCTAGTGAATGAGTTGGTTAATGACACAATCAATGCATCCCTGTGAAGAAGGAGGTAAGAAGAAACAATGTCAGTCCAGTTGTAGTATCAGAGAAACTCAGAACATGAGGCAGAGATTTGATCATCAAGGCAGCTGTTTTAGTTTATGCTGCCATAGTTTATGCATTCATGGCACTACTGCATGTCTTGTTCCTCTTGTAATTTGTGTTTTGACATCTCTGCAGGTATCTCTGACTGGTCTGCGTAGCTACATGTTTCTGATCCACAGCTACTGGCCATGCCAATTTGCCTTGTAGTCCTGTTTGCGGTCTGTTTATCTGCTTCTCAATGCTTTCCCTTTCACCCAGACCGGTCGAGGCAGGTGGCTGCCCTTCCTGTTTTGCCAGAGGTTTCTTCTTAGTAAAAGGGAGTTTTTCTTTTCTCACTATCGCTAAGTGGTTGCATATGTTCTTCTTCTATCAAACTACACTGACAAGAAAGTTTTTTGACAGTTTTTAACTTACATTTTAGTTTAATCTATTAACTACTATTTCACATATTTTTCCCTTTTTGGTGAAATTACAAGTAACTTGTGAAATCATTGTAAATTTATACTTGTAAAACATGAAATTAAAACTGCAGCCCCTTCAGGAGACAGCAAACGTTTGGTGTCTTATCCCAGACGTGCATTCTGCAAAACTTGCTGGTTGAATGATCCTAAAGAGATGCTCTCTCGTCTTGCCTGTGCTGTTTATGTGTAGCAAGATGACAATAAACCTGATTTGATTGATTGATTTGATGTAAAATTACACTCATTTTCTAATATGTATTTTCTGGCACCAGATTTGTTTTTACCATTTTCCTATGTTTTTTTATTTATTTATTTATTTTACATTGTAGTAGTTCTTAATTTGCCTTTTTCATAAATTGTTCAATTTGTATTCAACTGGTTATATGGACAGTAGTGAGTCCAGAAAGCAGATTATTATTTTTTTATTTATTACAGATATTTCATTTGAGCTCTCTGCAGGATGTGAGAAACCTTCTTACTCAACAGCTGGAGATTATGTCCGTACAGTAAATGTAGGCAATTTTAAACGATGTGATCAAAAATGGAGCTTCTACCTTAAATCATTTGTTGACCTGCTGCTGTGAGCTGAACAATAAAGAAGCTGCTCTTACAACACAGACGGCTGTGATCACTGCCGTTCAACACACGACTCGTTGTTGCATTTATAGTGGATTATTTTGGAGTAAATAGAGCTAAACTGTCAATACAACATTTTCTTTTAAATCTTATTCTCTATTTAGACAGACATGATGGTGCTCTAATACACATTGAGGCTACAAAGCTTCACTGTTGATATTGATTTCCCATTTTTTGGTCCATGTTCTTACAAAATGACTGTTTAAGCTGTGCTTTTTAATCTCTAACATGATTATATTCAAAGGACTCTCTCTGCCAGCATTTCTCTAGAGAACATGTTGCTGTGAACTCAAAGACACCTTGCAGCTTTTCCAAGCAGAAAACAGTGACTCTTTACCTGAGAATGTTGTTGTTGAACTTGTTGTAACTTGCCATCGAAATCATGGAACCGAACGCAATTCCAATTGAGTTGAACACCTGAGCCGCGGCATTGACCCAAACCTGTGATGGAGACAAAGGAGAACACGAAGATGAACTTTAGTATAGTTCCATTTAACTTTGGAAGCCATGGAAACCTATTTTCTTAATCAGCATTGACATGTACAAGACGATGTTTAAGCTGTGTCGGTTAAAACTCGGGTAGGCAGTATTTCTGGGCACCACTGGGTAAACAAACCCATACTGACCTTTCAGCAAATTACAATTCAAGTGAAATTACACTGCTGCACTTCTTGCCTCTGTTTTCAGGCTTTAGGAAACCTAATCTGTGATGCGAGACTTTAGCAAGTCCCAGTGGGTTTTACCTAAAGCAGGTTAAAATACAGCAATGTAAAAGTGGGATACGGTGGTATGATAAGTTAGGCAGAAGACTATCACTTGGGAAATCGAGTTAAAGCCACAAATAACCTAAACTTTTAGCTTGACTATGATGGAGATTTCTGCCTACACCAGCTTTAATCCACATGAGCGACTTGTTGCAAGGTTGTTGTCTGTCAGTTTGTAAAGGTTAGACAACTAATAAACACCATTAAACAGTGTGTTTCTAAAATATGCTATTCTTACTCCAGTCAGTTTTCAGAAGTTTGCTATTAGCAACCTGGTGCCAATTTGTGCTATTAAGAGGCCAAGACCTAACAGTGATCTGGAAAATACTGGGAAATGTGAACTTATTGCTTTAAACTTTACATAATATCTCTATCTCTGAAGTACAAGGATTACCTGACTTTGAGAATAATGATACTTACAATCCCTCATCCCTGGAGAAGACTAAAGCATACAACACACACACACACACACACACACTGATAGGCCAATTGAGACACAAGCATAAGGAGAATACAGAAGAACAAACAGCCATAATGTTTTATAGTAACCTCATAAAGGCCAGTAGCAGATTGCATCAGTCAAAGTAATCTCACTGTATAAACTGTAGTACAGTGTAAACTTACAGTATGTGGGAGCAGCAAACTCACAGGTGATGTCTGTGAGAGTGGCATGAAGCATTTAACTACTATTTTTAATTTCTGCAACAATTATAGGTTTAAAAAAAACAAGCTGTTTATCGTTGCTTTTATATTTCATTTGACAGACCTTGTACTTCGGAGCCATGCCATCAGATTATGCTGATATTAGATATCTATGACACATTTTAGGTGCAGCCAGCAGGTAATTACTAGACAGTGACTAAAACCAGAAATATCAGCAACAGATTGACAATATGTACAATATTTAAAGGTGGAAATATTAGACAGCAGCAGGACACAACTAAGAGTTTGTTTTATGGGAATTTTCTGTCCATTTGGTAGACTGATGTGAGAATAGGAAGACACATCCAAGTCTGTAGAATATATTAACAGATTATATTAAGTCTGGTTTTCTATTTTATAATGTTTTTTTTTCCCCATTTGCTTCTGTTTTCATCTATTTTAATGGTTCTTATATGCTTCTGTGCTTATTTGAAGTCCTTATATATTGTAAAACTGTATTTAGCAGAAATCTATTTAATTTCTTTCCCTATACAAAAATGTTGAAATTGATTATTTTAAATATATCCATCCATCCATTATCTATACACCGCTTAATTCTCACGAGGGTCG